CTAGGGGCAGGTGGGATGTTGGGGGGGAGGGGAGGGAAAGGGAGAGGGAGAGGGTGAAGGGATTGACATCTGAAGCAAGCTTGTTCCTAATTTGAACTAATAAAACAAAATAAAGATTTAAAAAAATCTGCAAAACAAAAACAAACAAACAAAAAAGATTTATATACTCAAGTCTTTATCATTTTAGGAGTGAAACATAACTTCTGGCTTCTGGTAGTGGCACGGAATAACCCTTCTGAAGACAATTATTATAAAATCATTCATATACAAATAACTTATATTACTGCCATGCTATGAAATATGCATTTTTGGTTTACAGTAATGGAGCTTGGTCAAATGGTGGTAGAAACTGGAGGAACATATGCCTTTGAAAACAGGCATTATTTTCAGAGATGGGCAGCTCTGCAGTGTTTTGCCTGAGTGCAGACCCATCTTCAAACAGCTCTGAACAACAGAAAGGCTGACTTACAGGTTGAGTGCCTGAGAACAGGGCTGGGGTTAAGAAGAGCAGCTGGATGGTGCAGAGGGGAACTCTGAAGGGAAGAAACTTTAGAGAGAAGGGGCTCACAAGTTTCAGTATAAAAAGCCCAGTCATTGACTGGGCCATGAGTAGCAGGGACACTGACATCATTAGTTGCAGCAAGAAGTCCAAAGAACTGAACAGAGACCTCAGTTCTTGCTGACTTGGGCAGATGGAGCTTTTTAAAGAAACAAATACAATCCAGCATCTGTAGAAGACAGGATACTAGAGATACTCATTATCATGACCTTCTTATTTCACTTACATTTGAATTTCCAAAGTAAAATGAGAGAGAGACAGAGAGAGAGAGACAGAGAGAGAGAGAGACAGAGAGAGAGAGAGAGAGAGAGAGAGAGAGAGAGAGCCACACACATGCCTGTCACTCATGCATGTAAAAGTCAGAAGCTGAAATCATGAATTTTCCACCTTATTTTTTGGCACAGTGTTTTGCTGGACTGGATGACCAGCAAGCCCCAGAGCTACCCTTGCCTCTCCCTCCCTAGTGCTAGGATGTCAGATGCTCACTGCTGCCCTCAGTATGTTTTAAATGTAGGTACTGGGCATTGCACTTAGACCCTCACATTTGCATGGAAAGTGCTGTTTCCCATTGAGCTATCTCTGCAGCTCCCATAAAGTGTCCTGAATGTAATCCCTTACTTGAACTATTCTTTCTCCTCTCTTCTATCACTAAACTAAAAACAAACAAACAAAAAACAACAAAAGCAAAAAAGCCAACTTGCCTGCAGAAGCTGCCTGGACTTTGTTCCTCCTTGTGATTCTCCACCCATAGTAGTGTGTTTTTTATTAGCATCATAATACCAAACAGCCAATGGTCTCACCTCTTTGAAAGCAATGAGCACTTTTCAACTCTCATTTCTTCTGGCTTCTTTTTTATATGAATTATTCAATTTTATTTATGTGTATAAGTGCTTTGTATGCATGTGTGTATGTGCTCCATGTGTGTGCAGTGCCCCTGGAAGCCAGAAGAGGGTGTTGGATTCTCTGGAGCTGGAGTTATGAGCAGTTGTGAGTTGTCTGATGAAGGTACTGAGAATTGAACTCTAGCCTTCTGTTAAAGCAGCAAGTGCTCTTAAGGTCTGAGCTGTTTCTCTAGTCCCTCCTCTCACTTCTTGGTAGAATCTGATGCTTTCATTATTTCCCTGCCTCCAAATGTTGGCCTCTCTCTCTCTCTCTCTCTCTCTCTCTCTCTCCTCCTTCTCTGACTGC